GTCAAGGTGTCGCAGCTGGTACGAACGTTCGCCCCGAATGCGGGTATAGAGTTTTCGGGGTGAAAGTCCTCAGATTTGTAGGAGTATACAGGTACTCCATCGATTTATTGGCTTAAGGAATCTGTCGAAGAGGAGGATGTGGATGAGAATCTTGCAATAGTGGATGAATTTTAATTGCTTAGGATCTGTCGAAGAAGGGGGATGTGGAATGAGAATCTTGCCACATTAATTATGTTAATTGCTTAGGAATCTGTTAAAGAAGGAGGGATGTGGAATGAGAATCTTAACAATGTGGATGAATTTGTTGCTTAGAAATCTGTTAAGAAGGAGGATGTGAGGTTAGGATGTGGATGAAGAATCTTGCATAGTGGATGAATTTGTTTGCTTAGGAATCTGTCGAAGAAGGAGGGATGTGGATAGAATCTTACATGTGGAGATTTGTTGCTTAGGAATCTGTCGAAGAAGGAGGGATGTGGAGTGAAAACTTGCAAGTGATGAATTTGTTGCTTAGGAATCTGATGAAAAGGAGGTGCGGGGTTAGGATGTGGATGAGAATCTTGCATAGTGGATGAATTTATTGCTTAGGAATCTGTCGAAGAAGGAGGGATGTGGGTTAGGATTTGGCAAAGTGAATGAAGGGAAAAAATGAAAAAAAAAATGGTTAGATGACATAGAGAAGTGAATGGAGGGGAAATAATGGAAAATAATGGTTAGGAAAAAGGAAAATAAAGGTTAGATGACATAAAGGATTTTCTTTTTAATTTTTGTAATGTTTGCCTTTGTTTTATTTACTTATTATGTATTTATTTTTGTGTTTTAATTATCTATTTGTTTGTTTTATTATTTCATAGCTAAGAAAATCAACGGATAGGGTAAGAGATATAGATAAAAATATGTGAATAAGGAAGTAAACCGAATTACGTAAAAACAGATATAGAACATTGATTAAGGGAAGAGAAAAAATTACAGCTGTACGGAACCAGGAAATGAGAATGAGTTTGCAGCGTCAAGGAGTTAACAAGAAACCAATAAGACTCTCTCCTTTCTTCTTCTTCTCTCTCTCTCTCTCTCTCTCTCTCTCTCTCTCTCTCTCTCTCTCTCTCTCTCTCTCTTCTCGTCTCTCTCTTCTCTGCTCTCCGCTCCCTCTCTCCTCCTCCTCTCTCCTCACCTCTCTACCCTTCCCTCCTTCTCGGCCTCCCTTCCTCCTTCCGCTCTCTCTCACCTCTACTCCCTCCTTCCCTCTCTGCTCACTCCTCCTTCCCTCCGTGCTCCTCCTCCGCTCTCTCTCACTCGCTTCCGCTCCTCTCTCGCCATCCTTCCCTTCTCTCCCTTCTTCACCTCTCTGCATCTCTCTCCCTCCTACCTCTCCCCTCCCTCCTCTGCCTCTCTACTCCTCCTCCTCTCTCTCGCCTCCTCCATCGCTCTCGTCCTCACTCCCTCCTCCTCTCCTCCTCCTCCTGCTCCTCCTTCTCTCCTCCTCCTCCTCACTCTCTCTCTTCTCCTCAGATCCCTTCTCCTCCTCCTCCCTCTCTCTCCGTCTTACCTCCCTCTCTCTCTCTCTCCTCCTCCCTCTCCTCACCTCCTCCGTCTCTCTCCCTCTTGCTCCCTTCTCTCCCTCCCTGTCCTCTTTCCTTCCTCCATCCTCCCTCCTCCCTTCCCTCCCTTCCTCTCCTCCTCCTCCTTCTTCTGCTCTCCTCCTCTCCCTCTCGCCTCCTCCTCTCTTTCTCTTCCTTCCGGATACAATAAAAGGCAAGCCAGTCTGGCATCCGAATACGTGGCTTTGGCGTGGTGGCGTCAAGGTCTTGTGTGACCTGCTATTATGGTGTGAATTTGAGATCAAAGACAAAGCCGTGTGCTAAAGAAGAGGGTTTCGGAGGTGGCGGCAACACGATCCTCCTTTGTTCCTCTCTCTCTCTCTCTCTTCTCTCTCTCTCTCTCTCTCTCTCTCTCTCTCTCTCCTCTCTCTCTCTCTCTCTCTCTCCTCTCTCTCTCTCTCTCTTGTTCTTCCCTTCTGTTTTCCTCTTCCGTTTCCTCTTCTCTCTCTTCTTCGTCTTCTGTCTTTCTGTCTTCTCTCTTTCTCTTCTTCTCTCTCTCTCTCTCTCTCTCTCTCTCTCTCTCTCTCTCTCTCTCGTCTCTCTCTCTCCCTCTCTCTCTCTCTCTCTCTCTCTCTCTCTCTCTCTGCTTCCTTCATTGTAACTGCGTTCTTATTTCTCTGTTATTCGTTCTTTCACTTCCCTTCTGTGCTCTGTTTTCTCGTGTTTCACATTTCTCCATTTCCTCCTATGCCTTCCCGTCTTCCCTCTCCTCTCCTTCCTTATCTCCGTCTCCTATTCCTTTCCCTCACCTCTCCCCTCACTCCGTTTTTGTTTTGTTTTTCTCTGCCCTCTATCCTTTCGCCATATACGCTTTATCCTTCCTTTCTTCTTTCGTCTTTTCTCTTTGCTCTCTCTCTCCCTCTCTCTCTCTCTCTCTCTCTCTCTCTCTCTCTCTCTTCTCTCTCTCTCTCTCTCCTCTCTCTCTTCTCTCTCTCTCTCTCTCTCTCACCTCTCTCACTACTCTCTCTTCTCTCTCTCATACTCCTCTCACTACCCTCTCCTCTTACTCTCTCTCCTCTTCCATCTTCCCTCTCCTCATCTCCTCTCCACTCTCCTCTCCTCTCTCCCTCTCCCCTTCCCCCCGCTCACGCCTCTCCTAATTCCCCTTTAGTTCGATCGTTCTCGCGATTAATTAAAGACAAGTAGCGAGTGTTGCTTTTTCTCAAGGGAGAAGGGGCGTTGCGTAGAGCGCGGGGAACTAGGAGCTGAGGGGAAAGGCTGAGGGGAGAGTGGGTTAAGGAGATTGGGTTGAGGGGAGAAGTGGGTTGAGGGAGGGTGGGCTGAGGGGAAAGGAGGGAGAGTGGTTGAGGGAGAAGGCTGAGGGAGAGTGGGTTGAGGGAAGGCTGAGGGGAGAGTGGGTGAGGGAAAGGCTGAGGGGTGGGTTGAGAAAGGCTGAGGGAGTGGGTTGAGGGAAAGGCTGAGGGGAGAGTGGGTTGAGGGAGAGGCTTAGGGGAGAGTGGGTTGAGGGAAAGGCTGAGGGGAGGCGGGTTGAGGGAGAGGCTGAGGGAAAGTAGGCTGAGGGGAAGAGTGGGTTAAGGGGAGGGGAAAGGAGAGGTTTGAGGGAGGGTGGGCTGAGGGAAAGGCTGAGGGGAGAGTGGGTTGAGGGAGAGGCTGAGGGGAGAGTGAGGGGAGAGTGGTTGAGGAAGGCTGAGGGAGAGTGGGTTGAGGAAAGGCTGAGGGGAGAGTGGGTTGAGGGAAAGGCTGAGGGGAGAGTGGGTTGAGGGAGAGGCTTAGGAGAGTGGGTTGAAGGGAAGGGCTGAGTGGAGAGCGGTTGAGGGAGAGGCTGGGGGAAAGTAGGCTGAGGGGAGAGTGGGTTGAGGGGAAATGCTTAGGGAGAGTGGGTTGAGGGAGAGGCATAGGGGAGAGTGGGTTGAGGGGAGAGGCTGAGGGGAGAAGTGGTTGAGGGAAGGCTGAGGAGAGTGGGCTGAGGGGAGAGTGGGTTGAGGGAAAGGCTGAGGGGAGAGTGGGTTGAGGGGAAAGGCTGAGGGGAAGAGTGGGTTTGAGGGGAAAAGGCTGAGGGAGAGTGGGTTGAGGGGAGAGGCTGAGGGGAAAGTAGGCTGAGGAGAAGTGGGTTTGAGGGGAGAGTGGGGGTTAAGGGGAGAGTGAGGTGGGCTGAGGGGAGAGTGGGCTGAGGGAGAGTGGGGTAAGGGAGAGTGGGTTGAGGCAGAGTGGGCGAGGGGAGAGTGGGTTAGAGGGAAGTGGGGCTTAAGGGGAGAGTGGGTTGAGGGGAGAGTGGGTTGAGGGGAAGGTGGGTGAGAGAGAGAGAGGGGAGGTGGGTTGAGGAGAGGCTTAGGGGAGAGTGGGTTGAGGGAGAGTGGGTTGAGGGAAGTGGCTTGAGGGAGGCAGGGAGAGTTGGGTTGAGGGGAGAGTGGGACTGAGGGGAGAGTGGGTTGAGGGAGAGGCTAAGGGAGAGTGGTTGAGGGAAAGGCTTAGGGGAGAGTGGGCTTGAGGAAGAGGCTTAGGGGAGAGTGTGAGGGAGAGTGCTTGAGGAGAGAGAGGGAGTGGGCTGAGGGAGAGTGGGTTGAGGGGAGAGTGGGTTGAGGGAGAGGCTGAGTGGAGAGTGGGTTGAGGGAGAGGCTGAGGGGAGAGTAGGCCTGAGGGAGAGTGGGTGAGGGGAAAGGCTTAGGGGAGAGTGGGCTGAGGGGAGAGTGGGATTGAGGGAGAGGCTGAGGGGAAAGTAGGAAGGACTGAGAGGAAGAGTGGGTTGAGGGGAAAGGCTTAGGGGAGAGTGGAGGGAGGTGAGGAGGGAGAGGCTGAGGTTGAGGGAGAGGCCTTAGGGGAGAGTGGGTTGAGGAAAAGGCTGAGGGAAAGTAGCTGAGGGAGAGTGGGTTGAGGGGAGGCTTAGGGATAGTGGGACTGAGGGGAAGAGTGGGTTGAGGGAGAGACTGAGGGGAAGGGAAGAAGCTGAAGAGAGTGTTGAGGGGAGAGAGGAGAGGCTTAAGGAGAGTGAGTTTGAGGGAGAAGAGACTGAGGGGAAAGGGAAGAGGATGAAGGAGGCGCTGAGAGAAAGAGGGAAGATTTTATAAAATTTATAAGATTTAGGCTTCAATTCCATTTGTTCACAGGATATCCGTTGCTCGTGACATAACTAATGTTTTATTTGGCTCTATACACCCCTCACCTCCCCCCCGCCGTGTGCGAGGAATGGCCGGGTGACACGTCATCTGGAAGCGGCGCGGGTCGAACGCCGGTCAGCAACATTGCATGAACCAGCACGTTTCCATTGCACTACACAGAGGCTAGAGGGAGAAACTGAGGGACAGTTGAGGCGAAGGTGCAGGGAGAGGCTGAGGGGGGAGTTGAGGGAGAGGCTATAGAGGCTGTGGAGAGACCTAAAGGGAGAGGCTAATGAGAGAGTGAGGGGAGAGTCCGAGAGAGAGGCTGAGAAGAGAGTGAGGAGAGAGCTAAGGGAGAGGCTATAAAGAGAGTGAGGGGGAGTTCGAGGAGAGAGGCTAAAGAGAGAGTGAGGAGAGAGTTAAGGGAGAGGCTATAGAGAGTGAGGGGAGAGTTCGAGAGAGAGGCTAAAGAGAGAGTGAGGAGAGGTTTAAGGGAGAGGCTATAGAGAGTGAGGGGAGAGTTCGAGAGAGAAGCTGAGAAGAGATCCTGAATGGATAGCCAAGAGAGGGATAGTGAGCGGAGAGGTAAAGAGGAGAAACAAAGAGAGAGGAGGAGGAGGAGGTGATGAAGGAGGCGAGGGGAGAAGCCGAGGAGAAGGGTTGAGGAGAGAAGGGGAAAGAGGATTCACAAAGGCTTCAGTAAGGGAGGGGAAGCTGCGGATATATTACTTTGATGTTGTCATCGTCATCCTTATCGTCATTAGTAAATACTATTATTATTACCAATATCGCCATTTCCTGCTGTATTATCACCATTCCTTTTATATTCTAATGATCTAACTATAACCACTATCATTACAGTAACTATTGCGTTTATCATTACATTCTTACAGCAAGAATAAGAGCAATAATTACAAAAATATTAACAATGGATCATG